AAAACATCTCAAGATGTTGTCCAAATACTCACTTCCTTCTGAAACAAGCCATCTCAAGATGTTGTCCAGATACTCACTTCCTTCTGAAACAAGCCATCTCAAGATGTTGTCCAGATACTCACTTCCTTCTGAAACAAGCCATCTCAAGATGTTGTCCAAATACTAACTTTCTTGTGAAACAAGCCATTTCAAGATGTTGTCCAGAAACTCACCTCTTTGTCTTCCTTTCGATCTCTTGCCACCAGTTTTAACAGTAATGCACAACTTCGCTAAACCATCTTGTCTCATCACATGCCCCAAAAATGTTTTGCCTTCGTTATCGCTATAACCTTTATAAGTAATTGTAAGAACGTAGCTCCTAACTCGAAGACAGTGATAATAAAATCAATCTATACAGTAAGTTGCTAGGGGTTCTTGAGAAGAGTCGAAATAATTACTGCCAAAATTTTTCACAGCAATGATTAATGCGACTATACTGAAATTAATAATTTATTAACTTTTATCATCTTCGCATTTTTTTACTTATTTATACACTGAAAGTAATACAGTCAGTACTCGCATATCCAATCCCAGATTTGTTTTCTAAATTAACACTTATATCTTTTTACTACTTGGTTTGGCCTCGTGGTTAAAGCGCTCAACTCGCAATATGCGATCGAGGGTTCGAATCCCGTTACCGAACATGCTCGCCCTTTCAGTCGTTGGGGGTATTATAATGTAACAGTCAACTCCACTATTCGTTGGTAAGTAGTCCAAAGTTTGTCGATAGTTGGTGCTGACTAGCTGCCTTCTCTCTGGAAGTCCGGCATGGCCAGGTGGGCGCTCGAATCGCAATCTGCGGTCGCGGGTTCGAATACCCGTCACACCAAACATGTTCGCCCTTTCAGCCGTGGGGACGTTATAATGGTGCGGTCAATCCCACTATTCGTTGGTAAAAGAGTAGCCCAAGAGTTGGCGGTGAGTGGTGATGACTAGCTGCCTTCCCTCTAGTCTTACACTGCTAAATTAGGGATGGATAGTGCAAATAGCCCTCGTGTAGCTTTGCGCGAAATCCATAACAAACAAACTTTCTCTCTGGTCTGTCACTGCTAAATTACGGACAGCTAGCGCGAAATTCCAAACAAACCAAGCCAGTCGAATATGCTGGTGTTTGCCTATCTGATAGTTGTCGGGAAGTCGTTGTTTTCCTAAGAATACATCACAGTTGTAAATATAAATAAAGTGAGAATGATGATCGCAGTCTTTTTCTTACTTTGCTATGTTTAGTATTTTCAAACAGTTACTAAATTATCTACAAGAAATAAATATGAATATAATTATTGAAAAGGTGATAATTCAACAATTTTTTGCGATTGAAATGTTATAAAAAATCCAATGAAAAAATCTGAATATTTAGCCTATAAATTTTATATGGTCACATAATTTAACACTACTTATATTCCTCCAGCCACATGATCTAATTCTTGAATGTGTATTCTATTATTAGTTTAATATATGTCACGTGATATGTTGCAACAACAATGTTCCTCCTGACGTGGCAAAACTAAGTGATTCTCGTAAATCCTCGTTTCCTTCACCTCGCGCCATCTTACGTGTAGCCGGTTTCTTAATTTCAGGTGAGTTACGAACTAGGAGTAGTTTAACCACAAAAGGTGTATGGTAATTTATTTTGTGTGTTGTACGTTAGTTATTCTGAGAGAGGAAAATTATATTCTACGGCGTCTAACGGGTATTAAATAAACTTCATTTTTACTACCAACGACTGGTAACTCATTGTGATAAGAAAAAGGCCTAACTGCTTGATTTTGTTAGCCCTAAAATTCTTCGAGTTTGAATAGGCTTAACGGTCTCCTCCCACACCCTAGTAGTAGTACTAGTAGTAGGAGATTAATCGTTTATTGTAATAAAATTGAATATTAAATTATTATGTCATAAATATAGTTGTCATTATGCAATGAAAAAAGTAAATATTGGTGACTAAAATAGCTCAATCGAAGCGTGACATAGTAATAATTAAATTTCTCATCCAAATAAAGCACGCATACCGTAGTCTGTACAAACTTTAGTGATGAAAAACCGAAGTAAATGAGAAAAAACTGAATGAATTTCCCCCTTTTAATAATACTATTACACTTTACAGTATTGTTCTATCCATCAACAATTAACGGCTATGGATGAAAGCAAGACTGATAATGACATGATCAGTGACCAAGAGTCAAAACCTGAGTTTAGTTAACAATTAAATTTAAAGTATTATTTATTTGAAGTGTATAGGAATTTTTTAATGCCAGTTTCGCTTGGTCACTCAAATGTAATAAAGTAGTTATTCAGGGTGACCTTTATGACTTCAAGAGATATCCCCTGTTAATTGACTAGTAAAGTGTTCCCCTCAATCTGTGGTTCATGCAAATTAGTTAGTATTTTAAAATTATACAGTAACAGATAGCCTTAATATATTTGCCATAAAGACAACAAGGTGAGCAAGTTAGCTGGCACTGTCACAATTACTAGGATAGTTTAAATAATTGAAAATTGTAATAATCGTGAATCCTCAATTAGTTAGTCATTTTTGTTGCAATTGATCAATCATTATTTTGATTAATTAGTTAGTTTACTTGACAGTAAATGATGTAATATCTGCTCATATGCTCATGATTTATATTAATCCTGATAACTTGGAGAAACTATGTTCCTTAGTTTCTCCATGTTACCAAGATTAATATAAATCGATTAATATAAATCAGGAACATAGTTTCTCCATGTTACCAAGATTAATATAAATCAGGAACATAGTTTCTCCATGTTACCAATGTTCCTGATTTATAATAATCTTGGTAACATGGAAAACTACTGTTTTTCATGGCAAATATGCTTTCAAAAATCAAATTTTTTTTCCTGTATCGTTAATGAAAGCTTCTAAAATTGTTCCCTGTTACTTCACTGTGTCTGACTGGTTGATAACAGTGTTGCTTCAATGACAGAAACCCCAACAGTCAGTTGTCTGACTGATTAATAACAGTGTTGCTTCAATGACAAAACCCAACATTCAGTAGTCTGACTGGTTGATAACAGTGTTGTTTCAGTGACAAAACCCAACAATCAGTATACAGTTGTTTTTCTCCAATTTTTTTTATTCCTTTTTACTCTTTTTCTCCTTTTCCATGTTTTCAAAATCTGTTTTTCTCGTATCATTAAGAGACTTATTCAGAAGAATATTTACTTTTGATGACACAACTTTGGTATTCTATTATGGACTGGATTTCAGTTCATTTTGGTATGATAATGATTTATTGAATAACTATCAGATTATTTAAATGATTTATTTGTCTTTTAAAGGATTAAAGGTGGCCAGGTCCAGAGAATGGGGAACATATTTGCTAATCTGTTTAAAGGCCTTTTTGGCAAGAAAGAAATGCGCATCCTAATGGTTGGTCTTGATGCTGCTGGAAAAACAACAATCTTATACAAGTTAAAGTTAGGAGAAATTGTCACTACGATTCCCACTATAGGTAATGTCACGAGGCTTCAGTTTATACTATAACCTTAGTTGTCAAGGTAATGTCATGAGGCTTCAGTTTATACTATAATCTTAGTTGTAAAGGTAATATCATGAGGCTTCAGTTTATACCATAATCTTAATTGTCAAGGTAATGTCATGAGGCTTCAGTTTATAACATAATCATAGTTGTAAAGGTAATGTCAC